AGGCGTTGTTGGAGTGATTACCACGGTGACATCCCACGAGGAACGTGTTGTACTCTTTCACCGCCAGCATCTGGCCGACCGGCCGATTGCTTTGTACGTAGTGACTAGGGTTTCTTGGTCGGTTCCCCAAGTGCTGCCGTCTAGTGACTCGAGGGTTTTGTTCCTTACTCGCATCTTTTCGCAGGTGGCTGAGGCGTGCGCTGAAAAGGAGAATAGGCTGTCGAATGTGGCTTCCAGGATTTTGGGGTGGTTGACCGTCGGTATTATGTTGCCATCGACGTGGACGTCCAGTTCTAGCCGAACCACTTGGCCCAGGTGGTGAACAGTGTGGCGGCGGATTTTATTTATTTGTCTTGGAATACAGATTATTCTTACAGACTACTCAGCTAACACTAATTAAGTGCTACTAAAATGTAAAAATTAAGATAAATTTTAAATACATTCAAAAGAGCTAATATTAAATAAATCGCAGAGAAGAATGTTCGGAGATGTGTGACTAAGGCAGGGCCTGATTGTGTGAAATCAATGTCTAAAGCATTGAAGACTAGGTTGAGTTCAGCACAGGTTCTAGAGATCGGAGCATTGGCACCATAACTGCTTTTAGAAAAACCTATTTTAAAGAAATCCCGATGGCGGGGGATTCAAGAGGGAAGATTAAAAGGAATCTTTTCTAGAAGATAAGGGCAGTCAATTGAACCAGTTATGATGTTAACGACAAACGTGCACGCTAAAATGGACCTTCTGTTATCCAGTGTCGTAAGGTTGATTAGTTGGCAGCGAGAATAGTAAGAAGGTAGTGGCAAAGAAAAATTTAATGAACGGAGAGCAAATTTTATAAAAACTTTTTGAACACGTTCTAATCGGTGTGATAAAATTTTAGCGTAAGGCCTCCAAATAAACGTTGAATACTCCAGTCTTGACCGGACTAGTGCACAAGAAAGAGTTTTAAGAGTGTAAGGGTTCGTAAACGCCTGACAGTTTCGCGCATGGGGGAGATAGTCGCTGATTTTCCCGTTAAGGCAGTCGATATTAGGGCCTATCGCATTAATCGTGCAATCATCGGCGTAGCTCACCAAGTTAACTCCAGCCGGCGGCGGAAGGAGTTTCGCCATGTAGAAATTGAACAGTGTCGGGAGAGTACGCCGACTTAAGGGCCCCTTGTTTAATCCTACGCGGCTTGGACTTCGCGTTTCGGAATTCGACCGATCGGAGTCCACACCAGGGATGGTGCGAATATTTGCATTCGCGTTCGTTATGCGAATGATTCGCATCATTTTACACATTCGCATTCGCATCAAATGATATGAATGTTTTGCGAATGCGAATGTGTACATGGGCAGAAAGTCCACTCTAATATGGTTGAAATGGCTCAAAGTCTGTCTAACCAGGGTGCGGACAAAAAACCGGCTTTTAGCTTCAGGCACTAAACGGTTAAGTAGTATATCAAGCAACATTGATAAGCCTTCAACAAGTACTGCTAAAAGCCTTATAAGCAACCTAGAAATTTTAGATTCCTCCAGCGTGAGCGAAGGCTCGGATGTAGAATGTGGAAACATTAAAAAATGTGAAAATAAAGCTCAATTGAAGGCCTATCTTAAAGAAAGGCGAGCTCCTCTCGGTGAAAATCCCCTCGATTGGTGGAAAACTAAACTAAAATACGACAAATAGATGTTCACTATAGTTTAATTTAACTGAATTTGTAATAAAAAATCGCGAACTTTATTGATTTAATTAAATAATAATGCGAGAAGAATGTACGAAAAACCGGCGTCGCCGGTGAAGGTACTTGGTGTTGCCAATGTCATGAGTTTCATTTTCCCCGAACCAGTTCACTTTGGTTTCCATGTATTTCTTATGGGCGGATGACAAATTTTCGGGTGAATTTTTTTTCGGGCGAAACTCAGGATAAGGCAGATTTCTTAAAGAGGTTTTAATTAGTGTTGCCAATAACAATAAATGAGAGACTTTAATTTTAGTAATTATTTGAATAATTCGTATATAAACAAAATCTTACTAATAGAAAACTCATTTACGCCCGAAGGCCATTTACGCAGAAAGAAGTTCTGCCCCTCTTCTTCGACAACACATACGAGAATTCTGCGTAGTAAGGGTTATGATCCCTAAGCGCGCCTACGGAGAAATGAGTTCTGCCACTCTTCTCCGGCAACACAGAGGCCCTTATTTATTTATTTATTTATTTACTGAAGTCAATGAACAAAATATTCTTACAGACTACACATGTTGGAGAGTATTACTAGTATAATTACATTATTCAAGACAATTATTCACATGAAACAGACATTTTGGCAGTTCGCCACACTCATAATAAATTAAAAAACGCTTACATATAAGTTGAGATCATAAACTACACTAATGACTGATAAAATAATCACTTAACTGGGCTTTAAGAGCAAATTTAGAAACTGATGTCTAGGTCTAAAGAATTTTCGGAGACGTTAAACTCAGTTAGAGTTTTATTAATAGGAGCATTGGCACTATATGCCGTTTTGCTGAGGCCAACTCTAAATACCTCAAAGCGACGGAGGTTTCTACTCGGAACATTGAAGTGCAACCTCTCAAGAAGGGCTGATTAGACGGCACCGAGACTCATATGACGGAATCGGGAGTGTGAAATTTAGCGATGTTAGAGCGAAACGGAGGAACATTTTTTGAACTCTCTCCAACCTGTTTATATGAATAGCATGAAATGGTCTCCAAATAAATTCCGCGTATTCTAATTTAGACCGCACAAAAGCAGAAAACAGCATCTTAAGTGTGTATGGATCTGAGAAATTAGAAGAGTTCCTTCGTACAAATGCAAGCATAGCAAGCGAGTTTTTTTATCGTATAATTAAAGTAAAGTAAACTTAGTGTCATAGTACACCCCCAGATCCTTGACTTCATTAACCGACTCAAGCGTAGAGTTTGCAATGCTATACGACGTGTGCAAGGGATTGTGCAGTTTAGTGAACGTCGCTTTGTGACATTTATTAATGTTTAGATACAGTCGATTCCTAACGCACCAATTGTTAAGCTTATTAAGCTCCAATTGAAGAGCTGTAGCATCATTTGTGCAACCAATCTCAGAGTAAAGTTTCAAGTCATCCGCATAAAGCAGAAACTTAGAGGATCAAAAACATGAAGAGATATCATTAATGAAGAGGTTAAAGAATAGAGGTCCTAATATGCTACCCTGAGGTACACCTGAGATAGCAACAAAAGGGTCCGAAGCAACACCATCTACAACAACGCACTTATCCTGTTATGTAAGTACGATTTAGCCCACTTTAAAAAATTTTAATGAAAGCCAAAGAACTCCAGCTTAGTTAAAAGAATTTTGTGGGAAATTTTGTCAAAGGCTTTGGAGAAATCCGTATAAATCGTATCCACCTGCACGCCTCGACGAAAGGCTGAATAACAGTCTTCAGTGAAGACAGAAAGATTAGTTAGCGTAGATCTTGCTGCAACAGAACCATGTTGGTTAGAACTGATCATATGTTTGACGTGGAAGTAGATTTTGTCATCAACGATAGCTTCAAAAAGTTTGGCAACGGTTGATAGTTTAGAGATCAGTCTGTAGTTAGAAATGTTATTCATACGACCGCTCTTAAATATTGGGGTGATAGAAGTTCGCTTCCAATCATCGATAAAAATTCCAGATGACAAAGATTTGTTGAATAATAATTTCAGCGGTTCCACCAGCGAATCACAACTCTTAAATAGAATTGCCGAGAGACCATCAGCATCAGTGTGCGAAGAATTTTGTATGTATCTTATCCCTTTAATTATGTCCTCATCGGAAAGAACGAGAGCGCCAAAGTCAAAGGGAGAAGACATGGCAGAGGAAATGTTCCGCTGAATACAATTTAAATCATCGTCGGACACTTCTTCGTCCGAAGCGAAATTAGACGAAAAAAAATCCGCAAACAAGTCGGCCGCATGTTTCACTGACGTAGCTGTGAGTTCCTTATAAAAAACTGTTTTGGGTATGCTTGAGGATTTTCTCTTGGAATTAATGTAGCGCCAAAAAATTTTCGGATTATCCCTTACCTCCAGTTCATAGTTCCGAATATACCTTTTGTACAACACTTTGTTTAGCTCATTGAACTCATTTTTATAGGACACAAATAAGTCATAAAAGCGCTACTCCTTAGTGGACTTAAATTTTTTTTAAAACTTATTTCGCAAATTCCTTAGCCGTCTTAGCTCATTAGAAGACCATAGCACCTTAAAATTTTTTATATTGAAAGTTGGAACATATTCAGTGCACAGCTTAGCAATATTAGACTTGAAGATGTCAAAACAACCTGCTACTTCGTTATCGCCAAACAGAACTTGCCAATCAAACTCACTAATAGCTGAGTCTAGTCTAGAGTTTAAAACCTAAACTAAGCAGACTATCAATAAGATAGGACTCGCATGAGTTACAGATATTCGATGGTGTTAGAGATAAGTCATTGCCCAAGTGTAACCAACTAAGATTAGGTAAATTGAAGTCCCCAAAAACGCATAACTGATTATCATCCACGGTACGGCCTATGGTAGGTACATTATCAACGTGCGCTCTATAGATGTTTTCCCTACTTTGTGGCGGAATATAAGAAGCGCAAATATAAAGTAAGCCCTGCGATCCACGAACACACACACATAACTGATCCAGCAACGTATCACTAACATGTAAGGAAATAGGCACCGCACCAAGGCTGGCACAAACTGCAATCAGCACACCTCCACCTCTGCTACAACCCGTCTTGATAGCATCTCTATCCTTACGGAAGACATCAAACAGATTTGGATCAAAGAATTCTGCGTCCAAGAAATTCGAGTTCAGCCATGTTTCAGTTATGACAAAAACATCAAAATCCATGTGAGCTAAGCATGCGTACAACATTTGACTTACTTCTAAGCCCAGAGGTGTTATGATAGTAGATTCTAATACGCTTAAGTGCATGGGAAGGAGTCATAAGAGCTACTCCTGCTGTGTTGGTTTTTCCACTTTGCGAAAAAAACGGAAAGGCCGAACAGATACATTAACAGGCCCAAACTCTGGCTTCATCAGATTATCATAATGTTGATCACCGACCCCAAGCTTCAAATTAATATGCGTGAGCGAATTCGTATCCGACCCATTTTTTTTACCAATTTAAAACATGAAATCTGTTGCTTTTCAATACCGGCATATTTCGCCACATAATCAATGATATTGCCAGGTAAGACTGTTGGCAGGAATGATGACAATTGTAGCCACTTAACATTAACACGGGCAGCTACACCAAGTTCATTACAGACATTAGAACCCATCACACGAGTACGCTTTTTGCTTTTCTTATTCCTTCTGTTCTCAGCTGTTAACCAAGCAGAGTTATAAGTCGCATCGGTAGGCACATCTGCATTTGTATTGATAACACTAACAGCGTCGTTTTCAGCATAATTACGTGCATGATGATTCGCCAGCGTCGAGTTAGCCGCACCAACATCATTAGTATGAACATGAGCAGCTGCATTAACTTCCCCAGTATCAGCAGAGTGCGCAGAAAGCGGAGAAAAAAACACATTAGCATAAACATCGAGCGGAGACAAAACATTCTTATCGCTAGCAGGTATAGCGTTAACAGCATCAGCATTAGTGATATTGGTACTGTGAGAGGCATCAGCAGTTGATTTGTTTGCTCTTTGTGCCGTTCCAGGTGGAACAGTGGTAGACGGGTCGTCAACCCTCGCAGATTCAGACCAAGTTAATTCGGGTGAAGGCAGACCGACCACAATTGAAGAACGGCAATTGTTATTGCTAAGATTGTCCACAGTATTAACCGCAATTTTGAGTGTATTAACCTCAGCAACTAATATTTCTAGGCATTTTGCATTGTTGTTGTCTATGATTTTTCTTGATTGCATGTTGGATTTAATTTCATTTGCCAACATATCAATTTTATCAGAAAAGTTTTTGAAATTTGCATTAATGGCACTCGTTAAGAAGTCAATGCTAAGTTTCTGTGAGGCCATGATCGAGTCATATGTCTTACAAAGTTTTTCAGGCATATTAACACACTCAATACAAAAATAACCAATATGGCGGTTCCGTTGAAACAAATTAATGTCGTATTCGGACACAATGGTTTCGCAACAGGTGCGATGAAATCGCTTTTTACAAAAGCCCCTGCACGGCACTATTAGATTGTCACTTCTTGAAAATGCTTTGCCGCATTTACCACAGGAATTGTCCATATTGAAGCAATAAAAGAAAACAAACAGGAGCGAACCGAAAACACGTCTGCACGACACGACAGCTAATTTATTCGTTATTATGAGTTGCATTCGATTTTCGATCTTCGCTGGTTATCGAAGATAGAAAGTGAAATTCATATTATGAGCTATGCAACCGTGTCGAAATTTTCGTTGAGTATCGAATTTTCGGTCGAACAGA